CGGCGTCCGCCCCGTTCGCGCGCTCCCGGCCGGCGACGAGGCGCGCGTGGCGGCCCTTCTGCGGGAGGATTTCGCTTCGCCCTCGTCCGAGGCCCCCGGGGGGCGGGAAAATCCCTTTCACCTCTCAGCCGCCGCGTCCGCGCGGCTGGCGGCGATCGAGACTTCCCTCGCGGTCTTCGCCGCGATGCGCGGGGCGGTGGGGGGGGAGATGGGCCGGGGGCCGCCGGCGCCCGGGCCGCCGGGGCGGGGGAATACGTCTCTGCACACCGCCTTTCAACAGCAGTCGCTGCGCCGCCGGCTGCGGGACGTCAACCACCGCCTCGCCGGCTACCGAAAGGAAATCGCGACGCTGCCGCGAGTCTCCGACGAGGAGGCGAACGCCCCGGAGGACCTCCAGGCGCTTCGCCCCGACTGGGCCAAGGACCCGGACGTGACGCTGCCGGAGAACAAACTCCAGGAGATGATCGCGGCGGCCTATGACGAGGCCACGCGGGCGGCCCAGGCCGGGTTTTCCGTGCAGGAAACACCGGAGCCGCCGCTCCCGTATTTTCAACAACACCTCCGCGAAGTGAAGGACCGGGTCCTGCGTCTTTTGGCGGAGGTCGAGCAGGATCGACTCTTCACCCCTTCCGATATCCCCTCGGACAAATAAACGGTGCGTCCCTTTCGTCGTTTCTTGTGGGGGGTGTCAATTACGATTTTTGCCGCGCGTGGACGATTCACTTCTTTGATGGTTCGAGCCAATTTCGTGATGGAAACATGTGCCATGATGAGGTCAACACGAATGGATGTTATCTATTTGAGGAAGCACGTCTTGTATAAACCCGTTGGGGAAAATTCCAGCTCAAGTCGTGCGCTAAGCTGATTGATGCTTCTTCTTCTTCTTCCAAAAAAAAAAAAGTGGTCGATTACCATTCTCCCTTATTGTTCCTTTTGAGAGTTTTTTTTTTTTACGAAAGTTTTGATTTCATTTTTAAACTTTACTGTAACAATTTGTTACGGGATTAACCATAGGAATGTTGCTCAATCGAACCAAGGAGGCCCCATCCATTAGACCGGACAAGTGGGCCCCGCCTGCCTTTCGCCCCCCCCAATTCGTCTTCGCCCCTGTGCCGTCGAAGAGGCCGCTGACGGCGACCGCGCAGCCGTGGTACCCGAGCGCGCAGGCGGACAAGCCGGGCGGGGGGAACCCGCAGCCCCCCCCCGCGCCGCGCCGCCTCCCGGG